AACATCTGGAAAGGAGCTCAAGCGATACCCAACCAGGGCCATCCATCCCAGTTGTGGATCCCAAACTTTTTTCCAAAAGACGATACAGGCCATCACCTCGAGTTGTTTTCAGTGAGGTTGCCCCAACGCACAATGCCCTGAAGGGTGGAGGCTTTGACATGGATGAGATTAGGGGGACCAGAGTGCGGCGGAGGGCAGGAACACGCACCATGCACAGGGGAGAATACTCTGTTTGTGAAAGCAACAACACATGGGTAGACAACATGGCACGAGCAACAGACATTAATGGTAATGAGGTGATTGTCCTTCCCAATGTTACAATCAACAATGTGGTCAAAAAACAGTTTTTCTTTGAGACCACCTGCCGATCCCCCACACACAGGAACACAGGACCTGGGAGGCCAGGTCGGGGAGGAAAACAGGGTTCTAAATCTGGAAACTCGGGCTGCCTAGGTATCGACAGCCGCCATTGGAACTCCTACTGCACCAATACACACATTTTTGTAAGCGCCCTCACTCTTGACAAGGGTCGGACAGCTTGGAGATTTATCCGCATCAATGCCGCTTGTGTGTGTGTTCTGAGCAGGAAGTCCTGGGCAGGTCGGGGCCCCAAACACTGAATACAGCTAACATTTCCACACAACCGCCACAATAGCATTATTGCCAATGCTGTAAAGCCTATACAAAGACAATGAAAAATGATTTTCTGTCACATTACTTATCTGTTCACCTCGCTTCTGGCCCTACCTCAGTCCAAAAGTTCTAGTCCGTTTAGATGGACTGCATGTCATATTTATGGTTTATACATACAAATATATACAAAATGTGTACATATGAATCCAATCTTTTATCGTTGCTGTTGTGTTGTTTATGTTGTTATTTATTAAACACCTCAGTACTTTCCTGGTCTGTGTTGGATTTCAGCCAATGGCTTATACTGTTGTTCTCTCCTTGGGCAAGACATTTTCTCTAGCTTGTATGGTATGAATGTACTTAATGCATGTGCAGTGGTCTACTATTAAACTCTAAAAATTAACATTTGGCTGACACACCATGTAAAGTGGTCTGGAGTAGCCAGTCTCTAATAACTTGTTTTTTAACAGGCTCTTTGAAAAACAGTCCCACTATTTTGTCAAATGACAAAAAACAAAACTACAACCTTGAGTTCACCTGGAAATTTAGTGTGCACATCCTTAGCATTCTTGTGTCTGTGAGCAGAAGAGAGGAATGCTCTTCGGGCTGCACAAGCAGCTCAGCTCAGGTTTATACACAGAGGAAGATATATGGACAAATGAAGAAGAACAGCTGTGGGACATGCCAGACTGTGAATTAAAGAAATGCACCGGGACAGTCAGGATTAGTGATGTTGCCACCAATGTGGATGAAAGCATTTCTAACCCTGCACCAAGTATTAATATAAGCCTATGCTGCCCTCTAGTGGGGCTTAAAATACTATCTGAATGTAGACGTGAAATTGTCCACCTTCACTCGTTAACTCACATACCCCCTTAAATATTGATCAACGTAAACATTCTACAGTAAACATTCCATTGCACATGGATCATTCCAGTTTTCAAATAAACACTTTGGAATTTGTGAAACCTATTCAGTTAGCTTAAGTCATAGCAATTCCCACCTGAGCAGAGGTCATCGTGGTCATAATCGTCATCATCGCATAAGTGACCGCTGCAGAACGGTGACCTGCATGGACATTAAGATGAAGAGATCCTTTATTCGTCCCACAGTGGGGAAATGTCAGTGTTGCATCACAAGTTACAGAACAGTAGGAATGTGGAGCACACGGCACAAGATAAATGAATAATAACTCTATAATAAAATAAAATAAATCTCTAACTCTAGCATAAAAAGAAGCCGTATAAATTCTGTATTTAGCATAATAATAATTATTACAGTCTATGATTGAAATTGAGAAAAGAAGCACATGCTGAGGTTCCCTGGTTTCCATACTCCTAGTATGTTGTCTACTCGTCTCTAGTCCACTACTGGTTACTTTCTGCTACATTTAGAAAATAAAGATGGCACAAGCTAATGCTAAAGTTGGTGCATTGCATGGATCTATTTTAATAACATGCATTGTCACATTTGGGCATGTAGTTAGTTAGGAACGTGTTTTAAATTGCGTTGGAAAGTGACAGGATGGGGGGTCATCCACTTGAACTCGGATGAATGTCTTGTTTAACTTACTGAATACTACTGTAAAAAAAACAGAACAACATATTACCTGAGTAGCTCCATGAACACGGTGCGGTCGGTGTTTCGCGCTGTTTGGGTCCACGTGGTGCCCTCTGACCAATCACAAGAGGGCAGAGATTCCTGGTTCAATATTAATATTTACAGTCTGTGGCAGTGTTTTTCAACCAGTGTGCCAGGGAACGTTAGTGTGCCTAGAGATGTTATTCAGTGTGCCTTGGGAAATGATCCAATATCACCTACTTGGTGAAAATAATGTGAAAAAAAAGAAAGAATTAGAGGATTAGAGATACTTTTTTGCACTGCATGATTTGCTCTATAATACACTTTGATGCGATTTAATTTGTTTTGTTAAGAAAGACCTCAGAGTAACATCAGTTTGTATCAATATGTAAGAATTTCGGGGGGGGAAAGAATAATAAGAATACAATTATATTATAAAACATTGAAAACTTGTTGATGCTGATCAGATATCTGGTGAGTAATGGCCATCAGATCTACATAAATATATAATTATTTTAATATTTTTCAAACATTAGAAATCGCAACGTCTTGCTGTCGTTGTGACTGTGCTTTTATGGCTCAAACCACTGTGCTGTGGATAGTAGTTATACCTGGAAGCTGATTAGACGCCGCAATGTCTTCAAACTTTAGAAACTTTGTTTACTCCAAGGGGACAGAAATGGCTTCAAATTCCAATAAACATAGTTCCTGAACTGTCAATGAGGCCTTCAGACAGCCTATCGTCGTGATCTGTTTGTTTCTGTACATGCTTACAGCTTATATGCTTACAGCTTGAAGGGACAAGAAGTTTATACGTACATACATCAGTTTGATATTTCATGCTTGATGCAATAGATTACATCAACAAAACCTTTTACTAACTGGCTCACTTGTAGGCCTCAAATAGGCTTCTGGCTTTTCTTTCCATGATTACTTCCACAATGCATCATTGAAATATTTGTCGTCCTACTTCCTCCATCCATCATCGGACCCTTCACTTTCTCAGAACTTGGCCCACCACTACTTGTCTCTTTAAGGGCATTTTCAACCAGTCATAAAATAAACAGTTATTTGGACACCCCCTTCACTCTCCATGGTGCAGAGAGGCAAATATTTATGTTCAAACAATGTTTCTAGTAAGATCTTATTATGTTTCCAGTATTTAGTTTGCAGGAATGTATCAAATCTGAAGTAATCCAGATAATAACATATTAGACATACAGGGTTGAATGACAGTTTGAGTGGTTCTCCTGCCGAAGTATTTTGACAGCATTTTAGCATCATCTAGTGGTAAAAGGTAAACTTTATTTATTTATTTAAACATATTTATTTATGGAAGTGCATATTATTGCAATAAACACTTTGTGCCATTTCTATTATTCCTCAGTAACCAAACTCTGTCTTGTTGAGGGAGGGGCTTAGATTTGGGATATTCTTATTTTTGACATGGACATTCCTGACCTTGTGGACAGGGCAGTTTGGAGAGGTCAAACAGGCAGCCAAAAATAAAGCATATTAATCTGTCTGAAACAATACAAAGTAGGCAGCTTTGTACATTGAAGATGTGATGCCAGAGTTGAATGACAGGAAAATGTACTATTGGTTCTATGTATTTTTGTCATTGTTAGGCTATACAATTTTGCTTTATTAAAAGTGTATTAAAAAATATGTGAAAATGTTGATGCCACATATTGGAACTACTTTATTAGAAAAAAAAATGTATAATATGACTTGAAATGTTTTGGCCTCCTTTGATTGTCCCTATTTAAACTTTAGGGGTACCTAAAGTTTTTACCCTCATAAATGTTGCTTGTCCGTTTTTTGCATGTGTGGCTTGAAAGTACTCTAGCTTTAAGACTTTATAGACTTCAGGTCTTAAAGCTGGACTCCAGGTCTTAAAACTGGACTCCAAGTCTTAAAACTGGGGTTTTAAGTCTTAAAACTTTCAAACCACATCCATAATGCGACCATATCCCTTATTTGACCATGAAATGTTTTTCTTAATTTATATGTATTGGTGGCAGTTTGGTGTGAAAAGTTTGAAATAATTAGATAATTGTTACATCTACAATGTATCAGAATATGGAATAACATGAGGGCTAATTGGTCAGATGTTTATTATGATCATTTTTTTAAAATATTGAATATGTCAGAGTCAATATAGTGCAAAATAAACCTGCACATCCTATAGCACTAAATAACCTAATAATTAATAAAGTAAATATAAACCTCAAAAGGGTAATGGGAAGAAGATAAACTTGTTAAACCCAATTTTCATTGTACACTTTAACGAACAACATTTGGTTTCCTCTGAACCACATTTTCATCACATACCTGGACTTGCACATCTTCTCAATCTACTCAGATCATTGTGTTTAAAATAAATACATATTTCATGAATAACTTGGATAATCACGTTCAAACCTATGGTCCTCACTTTAGGTGGCCTCAGGTTAGAGGCCACCAAATGCCTCTAACCTGCCCTATATGCGGACAATTTCAGTGTATGGCTATATATGAATCATCAGTGTGGAGAACATTTGTGCCAACAGTTGTGCCCATCGTGTGTCACAGCCCCCCTGACCCCCCTGTACTATTGAAAGGGGCGGTCTGGAAAGAGTCGGATCTTGCGGTGTGGTGCGCATGTGTTTGTGCGCGAGTGGAGAGACGCTGATGCTCTGGTCTGGCTTAGCTCAGGGCGCACCGTTATTGTCCCATTGCACAGAGCCAGTGCACCGCGATTTACGACTAAAACAGAAGTGAAGAAAGCCAGACATCCTGCCGCCATGGGGAAGGTGGAAGGAGGAATGAAATGCGTGAAATATCTTCTGTTCGTGTTCAACTTTATCTTCTGGGTAAGTAGTAATGTTTTGTTTATGTTGTGTCTGTGCGCATCTAAAGTGGAGCAAGTGCAGGGCTCATTGTCCTTGCTTTATTATCGCCTACAGTCACGTGCTATTCTAAGCTAAAATCAATCATTTGTTCTTTCCTGTCCCTTGCCATATATTCTGCTGCTTGGACAAAGTTTGCATTGCGTGGCGCAGAAAAGGTGACAGCCACGAGACGTTTTTAACTTTAGGCTCATGCACCGGGCGGGTTTATATCAGATTTTCCACCGACGGAAAAACCCGCCCCCTTCTCCCGGAGAATAGTGTGTTTTTGAAAGGACGACTGAATGGACAGACAGAATAAAAGAAAGAGTAGCCTACATTTCCACTGCGCAATGCTGAAAAGTTTCGACAAGTTCCACTTTTCGCAGGAGAGTCAGCCCCATGCAGGCTTCTTCTGTCAGGTGGATGTGAAAGGTGTATTTGAGTGCCCATTTTTTAACACAAACAAGTGCATTGGGCGTTTTACAGTTTTGACTGACTATATTGGGCTGTCTGCAGATAATGTGATTCTCATACCAGACATTGTGTTCATTGATGCAATAAAAACATGTGAAATCTCTTGGGGTTGAAGTGATACAACCATACATGTCTGTACAGTTGTTCAAGTAAATATTTAAGAGAAGGTTGGCACTCGTTGGGGAAAGTGAACCATTTAGTCATACTTATCCAGGCCACATCAATATTTAGAACAAGGTTATCAGAAATATCCATGCACAATCCCTTCTGGTTGCATGGTCAATTTTTGCCGGGGATATGACTATATACACATGTCTGTATTAGATATTACTGCACTGCCCAGTCACTGACACTTTTATTATCTAAGGCAGTGTCTCCCAAAGTGGGGTCCGCGGCCCCCTGGTGGGCCGCGAGGGTACTGCAGGGGGGCCGCGGGAGGTCATAAAAAAAATAATATAATTATTTAATGTTAAATTTATAATGTTTTGTTTGTAATATTAAAATATTTGTGTTCATTATTTGACTTGAATAATCCACTGTAATCATTTTTGTATTACGATGTTTGTAGCAGAGGCTATTTCCCCAAAATAAAATAACCAGAAGAGCCTATTCTTAATGTTGTCTTCTTGGTTATTATTTTGGGGGGGCCACGCAGACCCGTCAGATTTTTAAGGGGGCCTCGGTGTTACTGAGTTTGGGAATGGCTGACATAAGGAAAAAGTGTGTTGAAGCACTGGTGAGGTTTTCCACTGAGCATCTGTGCAGTGCATCAGGCAGAGAGGGTGCTGAATGGATCTATTGTGACAGCAGGACAATGGCATAACTTCTGTGCCTGCCCCAAAACAGGAGACAAAACCATCTCGTCCCATTCATTTATTGTCCCTATACCTAAATCTGAATAATAACTTTGCAATATTTTATTTGACTATAGGCAATTCTGAGCCATGTGACATAAAGACAACGGTATGTTAACAACTATTAAAACAAATCTACTTTAAGAATGCACTGTACACCTAATTTGAATTGAGATGATTAATGATATCATGATAATTTTAGCGTCACGTTCCCAAACACACCTTAAATATAATAAAACAAATCATTTCAATAAACGTCTCCTCTATTATTGTATTATCTTGAACCTTTGGGACTTTCTTAATTACTTTTATTCAAGAGTGGTCTGACTGGCACCAAATGTCTGCAGTGTCTTCTCTTGTTCTAACAGTTGTACTAAAGTGTTACTCTTGGGTTAGATATTAACTTCAGATGTTTACTCCGCCTCTGCAAATAACTGACAAGTGCAAGCAGAAAAGTATGTTCAGTCAGATGGAAAAAGAGGACAGTTGGCATCGTGCTGACCCAAATACAACAGATCACGCCTGCTGGATTTGCAATGAGAGCGTGAGGACAAAATTGTGCATAATTTAACAGCCACTTCTTTTTGCAAAATCTTAAAGCGCATTACAGTCGAAATTATTTGCATAAAAACATTGGTGTTAAATTGAACAATCGCAGCGTCCCACTGAGCGTGTTACATGGGTGGACCCCCCCCCGTCCTGTTTGGGGATGATCAGAAAGTGCACATGCTCAAAGAGGATGGGGGAGGGGCAAAGTCCTCTGATTGTTCTCAGATCCCACCATAAATAAAGCCAAGACTTATGCGCTTTCACACAACACCACGTCTTCTAATACAACTTGAGCTGAATGAGCATGTTTGTTTTGTTTTTAGAAATATAAGTTAACTTCCTAATTGTTGTTTGATGTTATTACATCAAAAACACGAATTTGCTAGTTTTAATGAACAAGTTGCATTTTTATTTAAATTCATTGTGACTTTCTTATTAGGGATGCACAAATTTGGAAAATCATCTAATTGCGACCATTCTGATTTTTCATATTCTGTAATATTGTTTGTATTGTGAGTAGAAACATCTTACTTAAGAGAGTTACATGACCTTACAGAGTTACATGAGAGTTACATGGTACAGCTGCTTTCTATTTCTGCTTTCTTGCAGAAATAAAAAAAAATCACTGAAAACATATTCATATTTATATAATATATATAACTAAGATAAGAATAATATATAAACGCTACGTTATTGGCGTGGAGGGGACTGCAGCCCTCAGACTGTTCCCCTTTGGTTAGCCATTCAGGTGAGTCCCATCCTCATGCAGTGCTGTGAGTACCCAGTCTCCCATGTGGCCCCATGTGCTAAATATATATATAGCACATATATATATATATATATACATATAAACAATTCTCAATATTCTTCAATGACTTATGAAAGTATGATAATTTTTTTTTTTTAAATCCCCAAAGTCCATCATTCTTTACTATTGTATAAATATCTCCAACCTGGTACTATGTAATTGTCTCCGGAGCTCTACTCTCCACCTTCACCCACGTCACATCACACTCACAATGGCATTTTCTCCACCCATGTAATTATCCTGTCCTTATTTACACTTTTCCTCTGCCCATCACTTTTAACACGCCTCTGCATCTGTTTTCTCCTAACATTTTGCAGACAGACTGTTATGTTTGTCCGATGGATCACTGTAATTACAACTTGATTAAAAAAGCAAGCTTGGCCATAGTTTGGAGGAATATATTTACAGTAGAGGATACAAGTGGTGAAGTGTGTCTCGCTCCCACCGCAGCCCCCTCTTATGGAAACTCCCCTCACAAAAGCATTATTTAACAGCTCTGTTAAAAAGGGAGGCCACACTCACAAAAAGGATCTTGATTGAAGTTCAAACCAAGTAATGTAAAGAGGGAAAAAGTATGAGTGTGCTCATGTAAATGTTTAGCCTAGACATCTTGTTTCCCAAGTTTCAGTATCATCAATTGTCAATATTAGTCCAATTAGTCCAATAGCATCCTCATGTTTGGATTGACCATGTATCAATTTGAATGTGTGACATAGCAGCAATAAAGGATGAGACAAAAGAGAAAACAAACATGTTAAAATCACTCCTCTCATGTCTTACTGTCACTCACCCTATTCTAAATGTATACATGAAACACTGCACATTTGCTCTAAGATTCTTAAGGACAAGTTTGTTTTTTCTTCTATACAGAGATGTTGGAGTGGAGACACAATATGCTACATTCTTGTACAGAACCGGTACAAAACATCAGTCAGGAAGCCAAAAAAAAGTAAAAATGTGATATGAATATTTACATTATCTTTACTTCAAGTGTCAAAATGATTGATGATTGAATGAACAGAATGCAACTGTAACACATACAGTACACATCCAACACCCCACTATTAATGGATTTTCTCTTATTTAATTTATTTCACTTTCACTTTCTTTTTTCATACTCCATTGTGACCCAGATCCCCATTGACAGTGGCTCTTTGTTGCGGTGGGTGCGGTTTGGAGGGGCACATCATTATGCAGATAAGTGCATTGGGTGAATTTGCTGTAAAGAGGAGGGGGGGGTCTGGCCAGGACTGAGCTAAAGGGGGGCGTGTCTCTGAAGGGGAGGGACCTGTTATAATCTATTATGTATATGGCCTATACTGTTTGCCCCTGTACACTGAAGAATATCTCAACTTTCTTATAGCTTTCTTTCTTTCTATGCTGGACATCTGTTCAGTGAGAGTCCAGGCCCAGATATCACCATAAGACTAATTGGGTTTGGCGGAGCTCAAAGCTTTTAGGGAATGGGGAGAGCAACCACCTGCTCTAGTGCAACAACAACACATGGTACTCCACCTTTAGCTCAAGCACAGGGGCACAGGGCTACTGTACATTAAACACATACTAATAAATGGAGGATAAAAAGGATCATAAGGATTAGGTTATGTATACCATATGAGACATTGACACTAACAACATTTATCATGGTTCACTTCAGTCTGGTTTCAAAGATAATTTATATTCAGCGAAAGTGCATGAATTTAATGTAAAGCGTTTGGATAGTATTCAGTTGATATAACGATACTAATTAATAAGTTCACCAAATATTATTTTAAAGATTCAAGAAAACGTGAATTTAAGCGGATTTGCCTGAAAGTACATACATTGAAAGGAAAGTTGCCAGAGAGTCAACATTTTTAACTGAATGCAATAAGATATTATTAAATATCAGTGTTGATCTGGGACATTTCAGTGACTGAGGTCGACCAACGAAATGTTTGGCAAAATCTCTAAAAGTGAACAGTGAATTGAGAGAAAAATCGTCCGCTGATTTGCTCCATAGCTTGTACATGTTGCACATGGTCGACCAATGAACAGAAAGAGCTCTATTTGCAACTAAATAACCCATTCTCTGCAATAAAATTACATTTTGAAATTTGATTTTGTGTGATAACAAATTAGTATATCTTAATGGATATTTGAGCAAAGTCAGTATGCATCTTGCTTATTAGCATTGTCGCCTCCACTAATCTCATCTTTATCAATGTATGCATTTAGTGTCATACTATAAACTGTGAAGACATTGCAATAAAGTAGTACGTGTGTAAAAAAAAAAAAAAGACCTTGGTGGTTGTATGAAGTAGTTTAAATGTCCCTTTAGCTAATGCATCCTCTTGTCCACATGAATCCAGGCCAACTATGAATCTGAGGTGATCCAACAAATACCAGCAATAAATCCCTCTCAGCATGTTTTATCCATCTCGTCCAGAAAGTCAACACATCTTCAATGTGCCTCTCTCTCAGAAAGGGCCTGACCTCAGCTGTTCTATACATCACACTTTCAAATTGTAAATCTTTCATTTGGCAGGTGTCCGACTGTTCACACCTGTCACATTTCTGTTCTTTACAACTAGAGCTACTGGCTTTTTGTCAGACCCGGGCCATAAATATGACTGTGGAAAGAGAAGTGGAAACATGTTGGCAACGAGGACAAAAGACAGAGAATCAAACATAAAATACATATGAGATTAGGGTCTTCAACTTAAACCTAGAGTGCCTAATTTTAACACAACAAAATGTGTAATGAAATACGTTTCTGTCTTAATCACATGCATGCATGTTTTTGGTCTCTGTCACTCACATCACAGACTACCCTCCCTCTGCAGCTTCCTGCCACAAGTGCTACCAAGTGTCATATAGAGACTCACACAGGGCTCATTCTTACAAGTTTGCAAAACTTACAAGTTTGCAAAACATACAAGTTTGCAAAACTTACAAGTTTGCAAAACTTACAAGTTTGCAAAACGTACAAGTTTGCAAAACTTACAAGTTTGCAAAACGTACAAGTTTGCAAAACGTACAAGTTTGCAAAAGACAAGTTTGCAAAAAACATTTCTAACAAGATGAAGACAGTCCGTTGTGGTCTGTTTTGTTCTCAACCTTTTACTTCTACTAGACTCTTTCTGTTGGACCTATGTATTCATGGAGGGAAATGTTAGGTACCCCAACTTTAGCATAGCTGTTTTTTGTTTTTGTTTTGTTTTGTTTAAAAGAAAAGAAAACACTGAGAAGTTGAGTCACATGCTACCAACCATATGTTTTGCATTTAAAACAAAAAATGAATTTCCTGTTTGCAAGCTCATGTATTAATGTAACAATAATGAGCTTGGAGCTATTTGCGTCAACAGCAAAACATCTTTTCACTAAAACACAATCACTGTTTGAAAGTGTAAAAGGCCTTTAATGATTTGTTTATAGATCTTTTTTAGATATTTCTGGATATATGGATGATTCGAATGGAGAAATGAATACATCGTAGAAGTAGGAGAAAAATGAACCACAAATTTCCACGCGGACTGCCAGGTCTGTTTAAATACACTGCAACCTGCTGCCAACCCTTCATGTTAAGTTAGTTTGATTATCTCAGCTTTTGCTTTTTGACAAGACACCAAAATGCTCTTCAGTTTGTTCATGATGCACATAATATCCCTATTCTGGTTTGAATCCACATCTTCTCATGATTGTGTTTGGATGCCATCCTCCAAATGCAGACCTGGGTCTGTCCTGGTTCAAGGCAGTCTTAAACCTTTTTCTTTATGTATGTGGAAAAATATGTTCTGGATCAAAACCAAAACAGAGCTTGCATGAGTCCTGGTGGAAAAACATCTCCTCTGCGTTTTCCACTGTTGTAAACAAAACATCACTAATGCCCTGAATAATCTTAATAAAAACCTTACAATTATCTGTTTAATGTATTCAGCATGATGTAATGGACCAAGAGTCTGCTGTTAAAATGAACGATGAGGACCGGTTGTTTGAGGCTAAGCCCTTATGAGTCACTTACTGTGGCATACTTATTGTGTGCTTACAGTTTAGAATTTCCATCTTGGTTTCTGATCGAACCTTATTTTGTCTCTTTGGCTTCCACAGATCATGGGCTCTTTCGTGCTGGCGGTGGGACTGTGGCTACGTTTTGACCCAGAGACTGTGACGCTGCTGAACGGAGACAGGGCTCCAGACACATTCTTTATTGGTGAGTTTCACACACTTTTTAAAGAAACACTCAAAGTTATTCATTTGCTTAAATATATATCTGTGGGTGGTATTGCATTCACCCACAGATGGAATGGAAATGTCCCTGCGGTAGTCACACATCTCCCCTGCCTGCATCACAAGATCTATCATTCAAGGCTGCCACAATGTATTAAAAAATGTGCTCTGTAGTAATAGTCTTGAAACTCAATCTTGATATGAGATTTTAATTGTAAAATCACATTTATATACAGTATATAGGAAAGGTAAAAAACAGATCTTAGCCAAGTTGCCCTGCTTAGTAAGCAGGGCAACTTGGTAAGCATGGCAACAGCAATATTTCAAATATGGGTTTACAAATAAAAAACTAAATAAATTGCATAATTCAACAAGCATTTTCCTACATTCGGGTGCATTTTAGCCCCTCATAAAAGTAAATGAAATTTAATAAAAACACAGATAACATACTTATTTTAACTGTTACTGAACACAGTAACACTGAATCTTTAGGACAATGCAAGATGCAAGCAGAGGAATGATAGAAGGGAGGGATAGAAAGGAGAGGTTCTCTCCCTGAGCCTCTGCACTGCCATGTGTTTCCGCCTCATACCCAAATCAGACTGTTCTATTACACATTGTTGAGTAATGAAAGTGAAATTGTTCTTTGTTGCTGTTTTCATTGTTGTTAACCAAAGAATAAATAAAAATCATTGTTAATGCATGAGGCAGAGGAGTGCTTTTTACACACAGATCACCCAGTTCCTGTCCTTTATTTTTTTAAGGACTATGATTGTACTTTTGATTTTGAGCTTTTATTGTACAGCAGAGCTGAACTCTTGACCTCCAGGAGGAGTTGACCTCTGCACCAAGTGTGCTGCTGTACATACAACAAGTGATGTGCCATACATGTGTTGCAGTTGAAATATATATCAAATATCAACATAGTGATATTGCTATGATAATTGCAGATAAACCACATTTAATCCTGCTGCTTGTGTACAAAAACACCATCTGATGATGTGAGGACAAAATATATCTTGAGAAGAATGTCTGTACATTTGTTGAAGCTTTGCTGCGATGTCCTTGTGCTGCACTTGTGCGAACAGGTCCTCTGGGAGATGTGTGCGCATGTTTCTGACAGTGAGAGATACAGCTGAACATGCTCCACTCTACTCTCTTCTGTTGCCATGACAACACTAAACTTCACTGAACAAAAATTCAAAATATGTTATAGCCCTACGTCAAAGTAATTTAAATTGTGTTTTAGTTTTCTGACATTTGTTTCTAACAACCAAAGATAAAGATGCATAGTATTTGGCCTAATGACATACTGTACATAAGTGTCTGAAGAGGAAATGACCTGTCCCAACTCAACGACACTGAAACTATTTCCAGACACAAGTGGACATGCTCTATATAAAGATTTGACAACTCACCAGTCACTATATTCTGTCTAGTCTCCATGGATGACCACATACATAGAGTCAAATGCCTTTTGCTCAAGCTTCTTTAAATCTCTAAGCATAGAAACATGTAGTCTGCTGCCCCCTAGTGGCCAAAATGGGCACAAGCAGGCTGAATGCTGGGGTCAAAGCTTGAATGAAAGTATGAACTATGAAACATATATTTTAACAATGTATTCAATTATCATTTTAGAAAACTAGCATTCTGTATTTAATATTTAAGCAATATGTGTTTGTTCAGGCGTATACATCCTGATTGGTGCTGGTGGTCTGGTGATGTTAGTGGGCTTCTTCGGTTGCTGTGGAGCCGTGAGAGAATCTCAGTGTCTGCTTGGATCTGTAAGTTAGGAATATGTGAGCTCTGAACTGTATGTCATTGTGACTAATTAGGGTTTTCTATTACAGTTTTTTGCCTGCTTGCTCATTATCTTCGGAGCTGAGGTGGCTGCTGGTGTCTTTGGATTCCTCAACAAAGACAAGGTTAGTCTGTAATTACTTTGATAGAAATACAGATTTTATCCTTACTGTACACGGATATATGACAGTGGCAACAAGTCTCAAGGGGCCTTTTTATCAATTAAATATATAACCTGTACTCGCAGATTCTTCTCATCAGACAATTAGTAAGAGGTATTTAACTTGTTTCTGCAGAGACCCATGCTCAGAACTTTTTAGCCCTCTTTCATCTCAGCTCCTTCAAACCAAGCCCATGATGGGGTTGTTTCTCTGTAAGAAAAAAACATACAAAAATAAAAAAATCTAATCTGCCTAATCAGATCACTGCAAACTAAATGGCCACATCATAGGGACAAGGCACGAGTTGTAGGAGACTAACAAGATCAAGGAGAATATCAAAATCAGGAAGTGAGTCCAGGCAGCTTCCATCATAATCAAATGGGTGCTCAGAGGTACTGCCCTCCCCTCAACTACAATCTAAGAGTATCTATCGTAACTGAAGACGAGGTGCAACCAAAGAAGAAGCTGAAGTTTGTGTAAAAGGACATATTGATAGTTTTGATATTAATATGTGATCCTAAAATCAAACTTCTGCCAATGTAGAAAGTAACATTCTGTGGATAATTCAGCCTATTTAAATCTCAGTATAACAGAAACATGTTTGGGTTTTTAATACATTGAGTCAATAATTAATTTACATTGTAATTAGGGCATTCTTCTCATTTCATTAACATAATACTAATGTATATGTTTCGCTTTTTGTATCCAGATTATAGAAGACGTTCAAAGTTATTACACCTCAACCTACAATGAAAGCATCAATGGCACTTTGATTAACTCCTATCTGAAAATTGTAAGTTGTAAGATAAACATATTTCACTTCAACCGCAATGTTTGTATGAAATTATGTAATGCTTCCTGTGCACTTTCAGCTAAACTGTTGTGGAACAAAAGCTAATCCCTGCCCAGATCGGGAACCAGATACAAAGGTAAAACCTGTCAGCGCTCCCAAAGAAAACATGTTCTCTCTGTTGTGCTGCTGTAACATGCATCCGGCGTTACACTCACTTCAAATCTGTAATTACGCAAAGAAAAACATTATGTACTTTTTTCCATGCATTAATTTGAGCATGTAGTGTTTTCAGGAAAGTATTCTCGACTGGCTGCAGTTGCACACTACTTTTATACTACTTTTATTGCCTATCTATTGACAATAGGTTGTGTTCATTTTGTAGAATTCTATTTCAGTTGGAGGGTAGCTGCTGATACAAGTCTATGGGATAGAAATGTTAAAAAATAACATTTCAAAATGTTTTTTCCATGATTTCTTTTAATATTTTACTTTATAAGAACATTTTAGGCCATAGTTGACAAAGTAAATGCAGAGCTTTGTGATAGTTATAATTTTTGTTTAATGTCAAAAAAGTATCAATCAAATTACATCTAGACTATAAATCTGACCTTTGACAGTTACCATAGTTATAACAAGGAATGATCTTTCAGCTGATCTCTGTGGAATGTTGTGATGTCACATGAACACAACCTACTGCACACTATCGGCAATGAATCCCAATGACTACCCCTCTTTCTCATACGTTTTGTTACTTCACGCAATCAATATCAAAATTGTATAATGTGCATCAAAATGTGAACGTAAATCATCTTTGTATCTTTGAAATGCAGGACTGTGAGACAGGCATTAAAGACTTCTTCAACAATAAACTCTACATAATCGGATACGTGGGCGTTGGAATAGCTGGAGTTATGGTAAGTACCTGTAGTATTTTGTCATTGATTTTGCTTAATGTGTATATAAAAAAGTGAATAAGTTATAATACTTTCTGGCAGATAATTGGGATGATCTTCAGCATGGTCCTGTGCTGCGCTATTCGTAACAGCAGAGACGTCATCTGAGGACACCAGAGCTGCATAATATTCTAAAAAACGCATTGTTTAAATGACTAACTCTATAGGAACCCAAACTCAAGCGTGGCATTCATGTGGTTCCCAGGATTATAAGTTTACACTCAGACATTATACTTTTTGCATTTCTACTCATCATGTTGTTTTGCCACATCTGTACATTTTTTGTAAATTATTTATTTTTGTTTTTTTTATGTGATTTTTTGTCAGATGTTTGAAATTTACTCAGCACATGTAGATCCCATCATTTTTAATCATTAAATATGTGTACAAAGTGGAATTCATAGACTCAGAAAGAGAAGTATTTTAGAATTATGGAATCATACAGACAATTAATAACATTTTCAGTGCACAGGGGCAAAAGTCTTGACAATAATAACACAAGTGACGCCCAGTCCGTTCCTCGTCATGTGCATGTGATCGGTTTACTCCTCACGACTGCACGGCTCCTGCCAATAAACTGTGGCTCCACACGTAGTGGCGCTGCGGCGTCAGGACTTTTTCACACCATCCTGACACTGACCCCTGGACTGTGGGAAACTCAAGTCACCAGGAGGAATCTGCAGTCCAAAAGCTTCACTTTTCCGTCTCCACTGCAGACATGGTTGTGTTGTGTCACCTGAGAGTCCGGCTCATTGACCTTCCATCCTTATAACTGTGTATGTGTTGGACGGCCTCCCCAAATGTTTGTCTGTGCTTAACATTTGGGGAATTAATTTTCAAGCACATTATTAGTATTCACATGCACGCACTGGTACAACATACAAAAATTAAGTTGTGACTCAAAGCTGCAACAGGCTGCAAGTACTGCAAGTACTCTTACATCAAGGTTTGAACACAACAAAACTGTTAAAATGTGTTCTGGGCTGAAGACATTTCTGAGCGGAACAACAAGATTTTATGGAATTATGAGAAAACACAAGTACCCCAGCAATTAGGTTTAAGTGGTATTTATATTTTATGTCTTTAACCCATTGGTGACCTCTGTTGAGCTCCACTGGAACCACTTTTCATATTAGTTGTGTTTTGTGTAAAATGCTGTAATACCTATAATGACCCTGTATGTTGGAGGATGCGGATCGTGTTGCCATGTTTGAAATCTAAGCTGCAGCTGGGGTGCTCAGTTGGTATGCTGTAGTAATGAATTAGTTTATTTTTGTGCCTTAAAAAGCATTTCCAAGAACAAAAACTTTGACCACTTTTCTTTCATAAAGCCTCCCAGTAACAAGAGCCAGTAATGCTGTATATTTGTGATTTGTTTAGTTCAATATTGTTTGATGTTTTCAGTAGCTCTGTAGCATCACAAATTCAAATTCAGAATACGTCTTCTATGTGCCTTTTCGATAACGCTCTTACATCAAGGTTTGAACACAACAAATTAGTTCTTCATCTGAATAGCAGTGTGTAGTGTTTCCTGTGTTTGTTTCTTTGTTATCCACATTGTGGATAAAGATTGTTACCACTTAACTTTGTATTAGTAACTCAAGATGTTGTTCATATAACCAAGGTACAAAACCATTTCACTGTGTATATGAACAGTATCATAGCTTTGTGTAGCACATCTGTTATTGTTTACTTACAGTCAAGATCTTTGTCATTGTATTAATTTATTTGTGATACCATTACGAGGTCCTCAGAATGAAAGTAGATGGAATAAAATAACAGTTTGTTTAATGTTGTTGTTGTTTTGTAGTTGCTATTTACTTAAATGAACAGTCTTGAGAATTCAGCATTCAGTCCAGTGCCCTCTACACTTCTAGTCTCATGAAGAGGTGAAATATTTCGGTTGTCAACTGCAATTTGTAAGACTGCTAATAATAGACCTTTCCACAAGCACTACAGCAAACAGCATGCCAAATATCAAGAAAATACTATTCTTAATTTTCAGCACATGTATTGTATGTCTCATTGGGTTCCATATTTAGCCGTCAGAAGCAGTTGGGATATCATATTTCTCAGCTTGAGTGCACCACACAGCTGAATATTCAGTTGAAGGGGTGAGTGCATGGTGCAGAGGAGCCTAGTGGACAACCCGGTGCTAAATTACCCAACAGTGCAGTATGAGCATCTCCCTGCCACGGTCTGAATGTGAGACCGTCATAGACCTCGACCATTGCATCAGAAAATATGACTAATGAAACAAAACAAACACGGTATTCTCACATTTACAATTTATTGAACATTTACAAGTGTACACAGGTATGTTCTCATGAAACCTCTCAAATATGAAGACTCGTGAAAATGTCTTAAAGTACTCTCACTGTTGGAGAAGATATAAAATGTATAGAATACATATTTACAATATAATAACGCCTGCCAGTGCAGGTCACCACCGTCAAGTTACAGAAAGTGGCCAATATCCTTCCACTATTTCTGAAGACTTGGTCCCAAAAGCAAGATTATTCAAATGTATTTTCTCTCCTTAACATGCTGTAATATCTTACACAGTATTGTTCATGTAAGAACATGAAGGCCAGTCAGCCCCAATGCCAAACGTTCCTACTGTAGAAACAACTTATCTTGTAGTTGTGGCCAGGACAGGGCAGCTGGTTTGGGTTACTGTCGAAAGTAAGAGATACGCTTCATCCTGAGCTCTGCTAAAAGGTTCAAGTCTGGACTGGTAAAAAGTGCACAGTCCACCATAGGCTCCTCTGAATCCCTACCCCTCATAACATGATATACATTGGGTCAGCACAGCCCCATCCGGTCCCTGCAGCTCTCTACTCAGAAAAGCTCAAACAATAAAATTGTACACAGTAATAGAGGTTGAGTCCATGGCTACGCCCAGGGCAAAGCTGCCCCTGATTTAATGTGTTGGTAAAACGACCAAAAACAGCTTGTTTATGAAGAGTAAATGTTGTGAGGGGTGTATCCCAGCAGGATCTCTCCAACTCCCACAAAGTACACCACTTGGGCAATACCAAATAGAGGGGCAATAACCAAGGCCCGACAGCTTGCTCCCTTCAAGAATGCTCCAGGACCTTCCTTTTTCAGGATTTTCCTTCAGAAGAGGAAAGTGAAAATGTGAACAAAAGTAATTCATCCAAATATATATCTGTTGATTCATACCGAACACAGTCCACTATTCCATTGTAGGTTTCTTCATTAGCTCCTTTTTTGAGGGATTGCAGCCTCGTCTTCACCACTTAAAAACAAATATGACATAATAGAAACATTTGAAAAATCTATGTAGTAGCTATGAATCCAGGTGCTAAACTGTGGGAGTAATTGTTTACATTCTTTGACAAGATAAATGAGTTTTCTCCAAAGTGAAGTGGTGCTAATCACACACTTTTGCATACACACGCAAACCCTTGATACATTATTAACCCACCATCACAAGGACTGACAGTCACTGCAGCGACACATCCAGCCAGACAGCCTGACATGAACGACCAGTAAAAAGGAGCAGGGCCTTCAGGTGAGGGACGACCCAACTGGTGCAGATGAGCAAACAGAGGAAAATAGACCACAGAGAATGGAATATCCCTGCGGACATAATAGATTTAAAGCTACAATTACTGTAGTCCCTAATACATTGTAAATACACATGTTCAACTTTGACACTGACCTCATCAAAGTGGCACCGAGCCCCTTGTACAGCCCAGAGAATCCTTTCGTTTTCAGCAGTTCTCTGGTGATTCGTGTGGCTGAGAGCCTCATTACAGGCCCAGGATTGGTGTTGTACGAGCGACACAAAACTGCACTGGTCCCACCCATTTTTAGCGCAGTTGCCACATTTGGCATCACCCGTTGCTGGGCAGCTGAACAGTTAAATAATTTTAAACTAATCGTGAAATGTATAAACCTTAATGTGAGGTTTAAATGCAGAAGAGACATTACCAATTCTGCCAGCGTCTTGCATTTGGATCTTGAGCATCTCCATGGGCGTGGTGATGGTCACCTGGCACATGCCTGCGCAGCATCCAGCCAGCATCTCCTTGAACACTGTGAGTTTGCTAAAAACCCGAATGGAGTCTGATCAGTGCATCAGAATGACATTTCAACAGTTTCTCGAAGCCATTACTGACCCATCTTTGCTGAGCTGGTGACGAAAGAAGTCATTGGCAGCAAGTTTGATGGCCTTCTCCGGAGTTACTAGAGTAAGATTCACTGCAGCCCCTAAAATACATAAATAAGCAAGGAAGGAATTCATAACTATAGATACAATGGATACGAAATCAAAAGTATTGTAATATTTCTGGCACTAAAGTGTATCTGGTCTCTGTACCTCTGTACATGCCAGAACGTCCCTCAGATCGAAGTGTTTTTAACAGGCAGTCCATCCTGAATGAAAGGACAGTAATAAAGTGAAATTCTCTAACGATTCTGTCAGGAGTCCTAAAAGGCTTTACTGTTTCGTCACTTTTTTAATTATGCCGGCAGTTGTGAAGAATTGTATGATTTGAATGAATCTAGATTTAATCACATTGATACTTACATGCTCTTGTAGATTTGCTGGCCGCTGCGTTGGTTCTGTAATCTTGTTTTAGCGAGATCGATGGGAAAGACACAGGTGACTCCCACTATCCCTGCTACTCCTCCATTGATCAGTTTGGCTGGCAAGCTACCACAACAAAAACTATTGTAATGTTGTCTGGTCAGCGAAAGACATTTGGTAGACTTCAAATTAGAAGGATTAGATATGAAGATAGATGTGTTATCATTATTTTGACATCAAAATTTTTATCCAAATATGTTTTATTGGCAGAAGTAACCATGAGCACTTTCACACTTGTTGGTTTGGTACATTTGAAAAGAAATTCTAGTTCACTTGGGGCAAAAAGGTGTTATTAGTGGATGGAAAACCAGATCAACAAAGAAAGTATTTTAAATAATATATAATTATTATACATTATATATATATATATATATATATATATATATATATATATATATATATATATATATATATATATATATATATATATATATATATATATATATATATATATATATATATAATTTATATACTGTATATGTATATAGGGCGGGTTATGGGAGCTTGAGGGTTCTATATATACATATATATATATATATATATATATATACACACATAGTAAATAATTTAGAGCCCCATACCTGATCTGTTGTTGCTGGGCCATTGTCCGTTTAAAGTTGAAAAGTTATTGGTGGAAATAGGAAGCAGCGGAGCAGCAGGAGCGAGTCCCCTTGGAGACACAGAACAAGGCGAGGGCTTGAGTGTGCCTGGGTTATATATATATCAGGCAGCAGCAAAACAGATACTGGGGATAAATTCACCTATCTCCACCCCCAGAGCAACACGCCAAGACACCCAGCCAACAAGGATCAAGATACCAAGCAAAATCTGCATCTCATCTGCTTATTGGAAAATGATAGTTGTGCGGCAGAGACCGAGCAGGCCGACTGTATGAGGAGCATTAAGACGAATGAAAATGAAATCAGAATTGGATTCAAGGGCATTTGAGGTGACATGATAATGCCCAAATCATTTACATATCAGTCTATAATAATAATAATAATAATAATAGAAGTAGTAGTAGTATTGCAAAGGCTTTATTGCTTTTTTGAACTCTTCATATGGCATCATTCATTCAGGCGTCAAATGATCTCTCAATTACAATCATTACACCATGCAAGGCACATTTAGTTAATTAATTTATGCTTGTCTTTTTTTTAGCAAAACACTAGAGTCGCAGCAATATCAAAGGATGTTTGCTGGATCCATCTGAGTATTAAAGCTGGGGTACCTAACTTAAAACAAACAAAAATCTAGTTCAAATTTTTTTTTTTTTTAATATTGTAGTAAAATGTTGAACAAATCAGACCACAAGAGTCTTAATATTAGAAAGAGTGAAAAAAGGCAAAAAATGCATGCATGATAGAACCATAGTATTTGATCTTTCCATTTTTTTGTGGCTTAAAAGTTAAGTACCTCAGCTTTACTTTACTTTACAAAAATACATCTGGAAACATAACAAAATAAAGCGTTGCTAAAATAAAGATTTTAAACAAGAAAATTGATGTAATATGACAAAGCAGCAAGCAACAACTGACAACAGCCCGACAAAAGCAAAAGCTCTTGAGACATGGTTTTAGTTTATTCCCACAGAAATCTTAGGTCTTCTTGGCCGAAGTCCTTCTCTTCATCTTGCTGGCGGCTTGCTGGCGGCTTGCGTGCAGCGGTCTCTGGGCGCTGGGCGGGTGCGGAAGCAGTGGTGTGAGTGCTTGTTGCAGCGGCTGCAGTGGCAGCGCTCGGCCGCGGGGTAAAGCAGCGGTGTGTCGCTCTGTGCACATGTGGGCACTTGAACTGAGTGGTACACCAGGGACTGAGGCAGGCAACTGCGCTGGATCACAAAACTCCTGCCAAAGCGGCCGCGTATGTTGGTGTCCTGTCAACAACAACAGCACAGAAGGCAAAAGGACATTAGATTTATTGGGATGACGTATAGCCATAATGGGACTGTATTTATTTTGCACCCCAACTGCGTTAATACAGTCATTACAATCACAGTCAAACTTTTGTTGGCAGAAGCTTTTGACCTGTGACACATGTCGCTCCTAAGCAATGATTACAGCTGCAAACCACCTGCTGGGGTTTAGCAAAAATCAGTAAAGTCTTATGAGAGCCTTGTTCTGCTCTCTGATTGGATGATCTGCAAGAAAATCTTTAAGATAAATTTGGTTTCAATACATTTTTAGATAAAAAAATAGATCTACTTTGTCAAATACAATTTGTATGTTGAATTGACCAATTATCTGGGAACCCAATAGATGTCATGTAAAATAATGTAATATATTGCATACTTTCCCTTTGAAGCTGGGGTGCCTAAATGTTTTTATTAATTTTTTTTTATTAATAGAAACGTAATGTTTGTAAAATGTTAACGAATCAAACCATATTGTTTTTTCCCCTTTATTATAAAACATACTTGTAATAAAGAGCTCTGCTAGTCACTATTTGAGGCTTTGGCTGAGTTTGACAAAGCGAAAGATCTGAAGATGTGACAAAGGCAAAAACTAGTGCTAGAACTGAACTACTTTAGACCATTTATGTTTTTACATTGTTCATTTTCTTGGTTTTTTTTGCTCGCTTTTTTAACCCAAATATTGTTTCAGTCTCATTTTTTGAACAGATCATTACATGTTGTCTTCATCTTGTCAGAAAACATTTTATATTTGACTCAGAAGCTGATTGGCTGAGTGAGGGCTGGTCCTCTCTTTTTCAATGAAAAACCTGATATAAATTGGACAAAAACACATGCACGGAACCAACTGTTTTGAGAGCGAAGCAATGGTTACATGGATTATATTACATATTATTTTTTGTGGATCGAGAGTTAGGTATCCCATCTTTAAGTACTACTTGTTGTCTCGAAGAGAGTTAATCACATTTCTAATTTATATTTCAACTAAGCATCTAATCCAGGGCTGCAGCTGCTATCTAAAAACCCTGTTTCTACTTTGATAATATGTATTTATAATGCATCATTAAAATGCAAATATGCTTTTGGCTTTTCACGACTTTTGATTTATTCAAATTGAATTTTGAATCAACTGAAAATATTTTAAGTGAAAAAATAAATGACATAGTTTCATCTCTGTACACTATGGTTTTATCTTTCCTCCCTGTACAATATGGGACAAAGACCATTTTATGGTTTATCTAATCCATATATTTTATTTCAAATAGTCTATTAAAGCCTCACAAAATAGTGTATATTTGGTCTATTTATCTATACATTCATTTGTGCGGTATAGAAGTTATATTACTAAGTGCAGCTTGATATGTAAAAGGTAATTATGATTAAAGTTGATGATTGAGTTGAAAATATCAAGCACTGAAGACATATTTCATAAATCTTGTGTCATAATTGATTATTAAAACATGACATGCAGATAGAAAGTGAGTGAGAAGTGAAGATAGATGCACATAAAGTGTCCTGACCTGTGTGTAGCAGAGGCCGCTGCAGATGGTGGTGTTGACCAGCACACACTGGCCACATTCAGTCTCCATCCGTAAAGTGAAGTTCTTTGGGGCGCAGCTCTGGCACTTGTTCATCAGTGCACAAATCACAACGCATTTTAACACCAACGGCCACATGCTGGACGTGCAAAAACAAATAAAGTAATGTACACAAGGAAAAATAGCCTTACAGAAATAATATGCTCACTCAAAGCCAAAACCCCAAAAAGTCTAAACTATTGAACCTACAATCATCAACTGTTGATGCACAGCGGAGGTGAAAAAGACTAATTGCAGCTTATCTGTGCGTGGTCACTGCCTCGTCTTGGAGCAACTGAAAACATGGAAGATGCTTGTCTGCTTTTTATGGATGATAATCCTCCCTGATCTCAGGGACTTTGGGTCGGGCATCGGCCACTCACATGTGACGCTGAGCAAGTGACAACGCATCAAACCAACAGCAGCAGCAGCTTATCCCAGGCACACAGGTCCGCTTCACGTGTGGGACACAGCCTTTTATTCTTCATTATTGTTTATGTCTCTTATGTGTGAGGCCTCACTCAATTACATTAACCCTCATCGCTTCAACTAAACTCAATTATTAATGAGGTTACCAAGATTTAGGTTTTGGTTTTGTATGGTCCCACGATCCACATTATTGGAGAGAATGTACTTAAAAAATGTGTTCACGAGTTTTTACAAAATACTGAATAAAATGTTTTGTAACGTATACCAAAAACATAGAATACTAACTGGCATAACTTTATAGTGTTTAAGATGATCTCAGGTTTAGAATTATTTTTTGTTATTATAGGTTATTTTTTGCAAATTTGTATAGGTGATGTAAGAAACTGTAAAATTACTCTAAATGAGTATTGAGATTATATATTTTGTGGTACATGTATTTAGTTACTTATTACTAGTTACTTATACTTTATGCTTATTCCAAAACTTGCAGTGGAAGCTGTTAGTTTCTCAATTGTTAATTGTTTAAAAAAGAAAAATATCTATGTTAGCTGTTGCCCATCAGGCCAGTCTTCACATGTGTGCCGTCTATTTGCTCCACATCTGTCATTCTGGTTGACACAGTTACATAAGAAATCCATCAGATAATTCTGTAAAACTGGGCCGCTCACAGTTCATCACCTCCAGTATCTGTCCTGACACACATTTGTATTTAAAAATACAACTACATGTTTTACACCCTCACATGAACATCATTGTATGTTAGAGAAATCATTTTCAAAGTATTTCAGATGTTTTAATTACTGTTATTAGATTATTATTATTTACAGCGATAAAACAGGTGATTAAAAGATGCTTAAGTGTCCCCTGTTCAACCTGGCCTTGTTTTGGTGTGTGTCGAGATGACTTCAGAGGGTGTCCGAGATTTACAGATGCTGTGGCTCTTGCTCAGACAGATTACACATGTTTGTATCTTTACATAGGGCAACAATACACTGAACTGGGTCAGACCATAGAAGTAAGACACCCACTAAAGAGTTCAGGCCATGGCTGAGCCATACCTGAGGGTACGAGGTCAGAGCTGCACAAGGCGCTGCTCGTGTGTGTGTGAAGTTGAGGACCTATGATTTGGGCCTCTGGTCTTTAACTATATTTATAAGTAGTAATAATCTCTGCAGAGGAGAAAATCTAATTCAAAGCCCAGAGCTGGTTTCTGGCATATCTGAGAGACAGGGCAAAGAGATTTTGACAATGCCCTTTCCGCAGTTTTTTAATTTGATGTATTATTTGGCAAGGTCTAAAACTGAGGTTCACAAGCGCTCTCCATCTAATGTGATTAGTTATTATGCAAAAAAGAATGATCAAAAACATAATTAGGGGGTTCCATTAAGTACCGACTCAAGGAGGCTGAATACTGTTAAAAGCCACCTATCGCTGAACATTCCGAAAATAATAGGTATCAAGCTTTATATTTTCATGTATCACACATGCGACTCTTGACTGTTTGTGACTCAGGCAGATCATTGAGGTCATCATCTCCTCTCCTCCTGGAAGTACCAAGGACTAGGTCCAAACACTGGGGAGACCGGCCCTTCTCAGTCCCTGGACCCAGACTCTGGAACAAGCTGCCCCCTGACATGTGTGTCCTCACCATAGTCCTCACTGATTTTGGCTTTTTTAAATCGAAGCTTAAAACGTATTTATTCAGACTGCAGGCTTCTAATACTTTTAACACTCATTAGCACCGTGACACAGTTTTATTGTTTGAATGAATAAATGTTTTAATGTATTTTGTGTATTTTATTGTAAAGCAATTTGGTCGCCTAGAGTCTTGTAAAAGTCTCTATAAATAAATTTGATTGAAATCGATGATAAACATTAAATGCTCAGGGCTCATGCCATTCTGTTTTTAATAGGCCTCCAATCGCATCAGGCGAACAAAGGTTGATTTGTGAAAGATGAAAAAAAAAACACATTCTTGTCATGACACAGCCTACCATTTGTTTCTTGACTTTCTTGCATGTTCTACTTCTTCGCTGCGTTGACCACGTGCTCGATTATCAGCTCCAAAGTGTCCACTGTCTGAGGTGCGGCCAGTAGGTGGCAGCAGAGGGCGGTCTCAACTTCAGGGGTCTTCAGCCTGGATGATGTTCATCGTGTTCATCAGGCCTGTGTGTTCAGGAAGTCGTCAATTGATGAATTTGATTTTGATAGTTTTATATGTTTGTTTTGAGTCATCTGCTTCTAGATCATCAGCTGTGAATAACGAATACCACATAACACATGAGACGCCAGTGAAGATAACTTGAGACTAACCGGATCATACAATACTTTCACCACTAAGTGTTTTCCCCTCAGACCTCTGTGAAAACCTGAAGCCCTGGTAGGCCTACTATATGAGGAAGATTGTGAAGGTCTGTGGGCGTCCAATCCTGTGGTCACCAAGGTATAAAAGATAAGAAAATGAAATTCAGGATTTTTACATTTCTTAACCAGCCCCTGAGTCACAGGCAATCCACACTTCCTAAGGCTTCTTTTACCGTGTGAAAGCACAGTCCTTCAAAATCAATTATGTGCCTTTATGAACATGTCAGATGAAGTTGTAAATAGGTCAGCCCTGAAACAAAGTCTCTTTCTAATCACCTGAGATCTCGTAAAGACCCCTGGCGAATGTCGCTGTGCGTGTAACTTCTGTTCTCCTCCACTTCTGTTCTCCTCCACTTACTCTGATGGTCTCACTGGGCCCTGAATCAATCTCACATGGCCTAAAATAATCAACCTACATCACGCCAGGCTTTTCTGAAACATCTCCACACAGGTGGAGCTTTGACATGAACTTAATGGCTGTGCGATACGCTGATGTATCATCTGGTGCCTTTCTCTAACGAACTCAGGACAGAAGGTAAGCACTCACATATGGGTGTACAAATGTCAAAATCTGTAAATCATTGTTTACAAACAAAAGCTTGATCATTGTTGGGAACTATATCTTTGATCATAATCTATGATGGTGAAACAAAGATGTTACTTTTGTTTCAATAAATGTATGTGTACGCTCTTTTGAATAAAATATTGTAGACATTGGGAGATAAGCAGATGACGGTTTAGTGTACAGTACTTCGAATGAGTACTGTAATTTCTGGACTGTAACCCGCTACTTTTTTTACTTCTTTGAACCCTGCTGTATAGTGTACATGTGTATTGTTATTGTGGTACAGTTGTCAGAGCAGAGTAAAAGACTTTCAGCAACATAGTTTTTGTATTAACCGACTCAGGTTGTAAGCTGCAGTTGTAGCCACTGCCCAAAGCAAACTGACAGAAGGCTGCCAAACTGTGCCACATTCTAAAATCATTTCGCCAGTTTTTGGTTGTTTTTACCAGTCTGGTTGGTATTTATTAGCCTGGTCATACCACACCATAGTACAAATTACATTTCGTACTAAGGTCTGGAGCATAGACTGTATATATTAATGAGGTTCTCCATTGAGCTCCGTTTACAGGTGGGAGGGGTTAACTCCTTTTGCAGATTGAAACGATTGGATCGTATTGGCGTATGTAATGCGCCCGAGTCTGTTGTTTATTTAGCATTTAGCCTAGCCATCTCCTTTGCCGCTAACGGAGCCCGTGGGGAGTAGTGCCACAATTTTTTCCAGCGGTCACATTTGCTTAACATTCCTCTTGCGCCGACTTCAATTTCTTGATAGAACCAGACCGGATTACTTTACTATCACATTTTTCGCAAATTCTCGACGTATCCACAACTAACTACAACACCCGCCTTCCGCGCTCGCTGATTGGTCGGTCGAAATTCAAGTGATTGTAATCGCTAACACAGGGACCAGACCCAGACGTTACATGCAGTGAAATGATGATTGAGCGGAGTGTACTGATGGCTAAGGCCAGGCTAGGTATTTATGTGTCCGACCAAACTTTGTCCAACCTATATCTTTTTATTGTATAGCACTTTGGTCAACCTTGTTGACCAAAGTTGACCAAGTCATGTTTTGACCTGCGTTTACTGGGTAGATAATTATTCACTTACTGAATTTGTTGATTATGAATAAATACAGCCTTATAACCCCATTTTGAAAATTATACAGTATGGTCATCATAATCAAAAATTACTCATTGGCTCGCGTTTTTCATCATGCTTCAGCAAAAACAACAAAGTGACTACTGTATAACATGAAAATAGGAGTGTGCATTGAAAGAGCAGCACTGTAAACCCCAGCTCATTGCATGGGGGGCCACTAACAAAGTATTGTTAAAACCCTCTGAACCCACTCATAGCGTTGATAGTGTGGCTGTATTGCTGGTTATGGGTTCATTTCTGCCGCCCTTTCATGCTTCAAGAACATATTATTAGTTTGTTAATTAATTAATATTATAATTGTATTGCTCAATATTCCACAGTCTCATTGAAGAAAAAGAAAATGTACGCATTACAAAGAGAAAAGTTATCGGTTGCGTTCATTTGATGTAGCAACATTCCAAAGGGCCTGGAAGTTTAAAATGGTCAAAGCTGAAGGAAAAAGTCAGATTTCTAGTTTTAATTTAGATCTAATCTCTCAATCATTCTTGGGACATCTTCTTTTCATTAGTAACTATGGTCTGATGATGTACTCATAAAG